CTTAGGGCACAGGTAGAGGGCAGAGTTAGGGACTTTGCCAGCTTTATAAAAGTTGGCTCCTTAAAGAAAGAACATCTGGCTGAGTGGATAGCATTAAAGAAAAGATTATGTGCTTCCAAACCTAGATGCAGATAGTAAAATATTAGCCCCCAGCCAGGGCTTGTGTGGCTCTGCTGAGGGCTGGGAAGAGCATGCTTGTCTGGCATCGGCCAGCCAGAGGTGGGTAGAGGATATCAGAACAATGACAGAGGAACTGGGTCCTTTCAGCAGTCCTCTGGGGTCTGTGGAGAGACACCCAGACAGAGCACGTGAAGCATGGCAAACAAGAGGTCACATCAAAGGAGGACATAGCTCATGGCTATGACCAAGCCCTGTTGGATGAGTGTGGATTGGACACAGTAACAATGTTGGCAGAGGTGGGAGATTCCCATCTCTGCTGAATGCAGAGAAAAGGAGAGGAAAGTTATCATTTTTTATGAGAATAGCAGATGGTTTGTAGATCACAGAAGTATTACAATGGCATGAAAATGGCTGTGCTATTTTTCTTTTCTGGCCGTCTCCTTTGGAGTGGTGGATTTATGTTGTTTTTAGCTATGCAACTGCCTAATATCCTGCATCTTTCTATGTAAAGAGTTCCATCTTCACTGGAAGCTGAAGGTTGAGTATTCCCTGCCCCACTGGGAAAGTGACCTGGAAATGCAGAGAAAGACAGGTATTCCTGGTGACAGTGTGGCATCAAGCCCAGAGTAGTGCTTTGTGGCCACGAGAGAGTAGACACCACCTCTGGGTTTCCCTACTACCCGGCCCTGTGTCTGGAGCCTGGGTTTTGTTTTCCAGGCAGTGTTCATGTCTCTGCAGCCTGTTCATCCCTCAGCCAGTACCTTCAGCTATAAGTAGCGTGGTTGACAAGTTCTAGGCTTGCTCTAACCGGCCATTGTTTGGGGGACAAAGTTAAGGTGTATCATGGGTGCCCAGCACATGTGCATGTTGAAAGATCTAAAAAGCAGTAGGCTATCTCGGAAAGCCCCATGGGTCATCTGATTTTTAAGGTACAAAATACCTTAAGATTGAAAATGTGGGAATGAGGGGCCCAGATAGCATTGCAGAGGTGCAGAATAATGGAAGCCTGCCAGAAGCAGACCCTGAGGACAGCAACATGGGCACTGGCAAAACAACCACGGTGGTTGAAAGGCAGTGGGAACCTGGTGGAGCAGACTTACTCAGAAAACAAGGAAGGGTGGGACTAAGCACCATGATGGGAGTTATGGGAGGATAGATTTTGGTTTCTGTTTCGTGCTTCTTGTGGTTCACTGATCAGGAATTTCGCCCAGAAACTGGGTGAGATGTTCGATTCTATGATGGAACAATGAACCATCTCTGTGGCTATGCTCAGGTATGGATATATTCGTGCCTTTGTTGGCCTTTGACTTTTACGCTTTTGTGCATTTCATCCTGCTGGGTTCCTTCTTAGGAATGTTTGAATGTTGCTGTTTTCTTATAGTTTTTTGGGTGTACCCATAGGCTGGTGAAGATGTGGCCACGGAAAGCTATCTGCTTGTGCCTGATGACATTTGAGTGTTTGCCATTCAGGAATCCAAAATGGCATAGCCTCAGTCACAGTTGTGAATGGTTGGGTGTGCTCTGAACACTCAACTGTGAGTGCAGTTGGTTAGTGAGCCACCTTGGGCAGGGAACTGATACTGATTGTAGTCCCAAACTCTAGTCGTGGGGCCACTAACATGGGGCCACAAGTATGTGTTGATGCCATGATATGCCCAGCTTCATCTGCAGGAAGCCTGGCAATTGCACAAATTGCACAGGCAGGTTTTTTGTTTTTTTTGGGGGGGGGGTTGGTTTGTTTGTTTGAGACAGGGTCTCACTATGTTGCCCTCAGTAGCGTGCCTTGTCATTACAGGTCTCAGCAACCTCAAACTCTTGTGCTTAAGCGATCCTCTTGCCTCAGGCTCCCAAGTAGCTGGAACTATAGGCGCCCACCACAACACCCCTGGCTTTTTTGTTGTTGCTGTAGTTGTCACTGTTCATATATATATATATAAGGAAGGGCTTTATTTACCGGCCAGGAGCTTACAGCATAGATTTCCAAATGACTGCGCTCCAGTTGTCACTGTTCTAACAGGCCTGGGCTGGGTTTGAACCTGCGAGCCCCGGTGTGTATGGCCGGTGCCCCAACCACTGAACTATGGGCACCATGCCTACACAGGGAGTTTTTAACACATGTCTGTTTTAATTCTGTGTTCATCATGTTACTGATTCCCAAAATACAGTTTTTTAAAAAATTACAATGTGGTTGATGCTTCATTGGGGAGGCAGCATTATCATTGTGCCTCAAAGCAGGAACTCTTGGTCAGAGATGTGTTTTGCTGAGCATACAAAGTATTTTTTAGAAGTGTTTTTGTTGGCTCAG